CCTCCCTGCTCCCGCCCACGCTCAGCGCCAGCCACTTCAGAGCAGGAGCGAAACGAGGGGCAGCCCCGCGCTCCGCCTCCCCGCCCGCCTTGGCAATGCTGCCTGCTCTCTCCCTCTCTCTCTCCCCTCAACTCCTCAGCCCCAGCGGTCGAGCTGCTCACCGAGGCGCAGAGGCGGCGATGGGATGAGGCGGCGGCAGCTGGAAGTCCGCGCGGCGCGAAGTTCTGTCCAGATGCGCGCGCGGCCCGGGGGCGGCGGGGCAGGGCGCGCAACGTCTGCGCCGCCGCCGCCTGCCTCTCCCTGAGGAGGGGGCTTGGACCTCCACGGAGCTGTGCGTGTGTGCACACGTATCTGTATCTATATCTGTATACGTAGCCCTCGGGCTTGCGTGGATGGGCAGCCCCTTCCCTTCCTGAGCCCCCTGAAGTTGTGAGCGGGCAGCACTGCAAAGAGGAAGGCAAGGGGCAGCGGTGGCAGTGGCCGGCCCTAGGGGCTCCCCAGGGAGGCAGCGGTGCTAAACAGCTGGAAGCCGGAGCAGTCCACGCGGAGAAGTGGCCGGGACGGAGCCGACCCCCTGCTCCGCGGCCAGCTGTTTCCTCTCCAAGAGGGGTTGTTGGTTTTTCTTTTTTGGTTTTGTTTTTTTTTTTTTTTTCACTCCGCTTCTCACTCCTTGTTAAGGTAAGAGGCTGGCTTTGAACTTGGGGGCGCATCGGGAGCTAGGGGGGTTGTGGGGGAGGATGAAGCTGTTTGGCTGCTCTTAGAAGCGGGGAGACGAGCCGAGCCAGATGCTCCCAGATGTTGAGGTTAGCCAGTTGCAGTTGTTGGCAAAAAGCAAACTTGTTTCGAGCTGTCCTGTTAGGCAAACTTGGGCTCTTGGCGCCTCCTGGTGGCTGCAGGCGAGGAAGCAACGTCCTCCGGGAAAGGGAGACTGTATGGCAGTGTTTTCCAATCCTTTGCAGCCCAAGGGCTTAGATTAATACTTTTTTTTCCCCTCAGCACACCTGTTAAGGCATTCCCCATCCTTATACCTGTTTTAGCCCTTTTAGCTCATTGCCATGGCAAAATTCTGTGGCACACCTGTTAGTTTCTGACTTCACACTTCTGTGCTGCGGCACACTGGTTTGGAAACACTCCTGTAGGGTACCAAACTTGTAAGAAATGAATGGATGTGCATACTGTCCCTCCCTGCAGTAAAGGAAGAAAGCCTTAGGGAGACTAGGTTTCATGCTTATAAGAAGGACTCGTGGACCTGTGAGATGTAGGATCTGTAGAAAAGAAAGTTTCCGAGTATCTAAGTCAAATTTTACACAGCTAGTTTTTAACTTCTCCTCCTTTCAGTGAGGGGCTCAACCAGACACATTCTGGAGCTTAGCTTGGAGGGCAGTGCTACTGACTGGGGAACATGACTTATGAGGAGAGGCTGATGGAACTGGGATTATTTAGTCTGGAGAAGGCAGGGGGGATTTAATAACAGCCTTCGACTACCTGGAGTGATGGAGCTAGACTGTTCTCAGCGACGGCAGATGACAGAACAAGGAACGATGGTCTCAAGATGCAGCCAGGGAAGTTTAGGTTGGATATTAGGAAAAAAACTTTCTCACTAGGAGGGCAGTAAAACACTGGAACAGGTTACCCAGAGGTGGTGCAATCTCCATCCTTGGAGGGTTTTGGGTGGACAAAGCTTTGGCTGGGATAATGTAGTTGGGGATGGTCCTGCTTTGAGCAGAGGGTTGGACTAGATGACCTCCTGAGGTCCCTTCCAACCCTAAATTTCTATCATTCTGTGATTTTTAAAGGAAGTCTTACAAATG